GGGTCTGGAATGACACACTAATTCAAGTTAAGAATGATTTTACTGATTTTGATAAGGATTAAGGTCTTGCTTAGCAATGTACTTGTACTGGTTTTAATAGACCAGTTTCATCACTAGAGACAAACTCCAGGAGACATTTATTTTAGTTTAACCATCTCTACCTGAAGACACACCATTGTTTAAGTAACTGGTATCCCTCACAGAACTGACACTTTACCTAATGTGAGGTACTCTTAAAATGCACCATGAGTGCTAACACCCAAAGGAAATTTGCACAATGCAAACTGCCTTCAAAAATAATTCTGTTTAATTGATATGGACAAAATTATGGTTGTGTTCAAAAAAAACATCCTTCAGCTAAAGATGAGGGACAAGATGCACATTTAAATTACTATGACATGGTATTAATGAGACAGGTTCACACATAACAAAGGAAAAGTATACTATTTTATGTTGCTTTCCTGGTTTTTCATTGCCTAAGTTTACAAAACTGGCAACACATGGTGTTGTCAAGTATGTTGAGAGCTACTTTTGGAAAGTACTCAATTTGAAAAGAAAATCTCTTTTTAGGTGGCAATTTACCATTGTCCTTAGTTACAAAGAGGGTCCACATGAGTGCAGAACTACTGAGGTCCATGGTGCAGAAGCACAGGGTATGTTTGAGCTACTCCTGAACAAGGCCCTGCCAGTCAGGAGTGGTTAGGAGTAACCACCACTGCTCCCCAAACTCTACTCCTAGAGACACAACAATATAAAGAAACTCAAAATCAAACATGACAAGTACTCCTCATCAGATGCTATGCCTTGTTAATAATTCCAGCAATACAAATTCATTCCAGGATAACAAACCTGTGTCAATTTAACTACTGCAAACTGCACTTGCTGATAGAGACAATAAATAAACTAGAAAAAGAGAGAATATTGCACAGAAACAAACATATCTACAAAATACTCTGAAGTATGAATCTTGAGGGCCAGATTCTCAGTTTTGCATGTGTGAACACAAAGCAGCAGAGGGCTCTTCCCTTTGTGTCCTGGCTGCAAGATTTCTTACCTGACTCTTTACAGAAACAACACAAACATACCACCCTTTTACCAGGAAGGAAGAAAACATCCAAATTCATGCACAACCCAGAGAAAGCATAGGCTTTTGATATGGTGATTTATATTTAAATAAGGCCTACGATACATTTATTTATTTGTTTTCTCTTTTTTGTCTTCTAAACCAGGAACTCAGACAAAAGTAAAGAGACATTAAAAGCATGTGGAAACCTCACACTCACACCACTTTACTTCAGGTCTAAGAGATTTAGTAAGAAAACCTCCCAAAAGCAACCACCACTTGTGAAAACTTGTGGCCATAAATGACTGCAACTGGCATCACAGTGTTACATCTATAGCTGCAGCTGATAGCAAAGGGTATTTTGTTTTTAACCACTATGCTGTCCTTAGTTTGATGTGTGGCTGCTGAGATGGAAAAACAGCATTTCCCTTTCAGATCTTGCAATGTACTTTTCCACTCCTTTAAAATGGAAGGACCTTTGCAGAAATAAGAAAAAGGTCACACGAGGCAGCTTTATGTATTTCTTTTGTCTTCCTTAACAGAGAGAGACAATGGGAAAGGGAGTTCAAACAAGGCACAGAGAGCCAAAGAGGAAACCACAGGTTTAATTTTTTTCTTAGGAGTTTTTATTTAGTGAAGCCTCATCCTCCAGCATGAGATACTGTGTTATGTTTTGTGAGGCCTCCCCCCTCAGCAGAAGAGGTACTGTGTTGTGCTCTGCTCGGTTTTTCAAACATGTCAGGTCACCCTGAGAGATTCTGTGAATTCAAATAATTCTGACGTTGACTAAAAAATGCAGATGAACATTCCTTAATTCATCTCTTTCAGCTTCCTCAGACCTCAGGAGAGGTACCTGGAGATAAAATGTTTCAGTTTCAGCAGCCAGGGTAATCTTTGACAGCATACTTTGGGAAGCAAGACAGTGGTAGTTTCGCATTTTGGTTTAGAAAGTTCTTTTCTAAACTCTGCCTCTGTTTACCCATTTCCCTCCAGTACCTTCATTTCACCCAAACTGAGCTCCTGTGCATCATTCTGTGCTGAAAAGCAGATTTAGTTCTTTTACTTCCTTCACCCATAACTCTGCTGTTGAACTCCTTGCAACTTAAACAGGAGCATCCTGGAGGCACTTCAGCTTGTGCTGCCTGTGAGCAGCCACAAAGGATTAACATTTTAGTTTGTGCTTTGTAACTGAGACAGGCTATGCTGGCAACTCAGTTTGAGTGATATAAGGCCCTTCTTCCAAGTTGTGATAAAACTACCACTGACTGATAGAAGAGGAATATTATTCCTCCCACAGTTCTCCCTTTCCTGAAAGATTTCTGGTTTGTTGTTACAACAGGTTATAGCACTGGTGAGAAGGAGCTCTACTGAACTGAAGAACCCAAGTCCAATAATTAACCTGAGGACTGATCTATGCTCCTTTAAATGGAGCAGTCTTTAAAAAAATTCCCTTTCTGTCTATTTAGGAAAGTGTCTTCTTCTGACACAGTAACAGCTTTTCCCCTGTACCATGAAAAGCTAATACATAATACCAGATGCACCCTGCATTAGTTCCCAAAGCTCTGCCATTTTAATCCAGTCTAACAGAATAGAGTGGTGCATTTCAATCTCTGACACTACAACTGCTGTCTAAAAGAACATGAGCTATTCCTTAACTACACAGCTGCATGAGGCTGTGAAGGACAGAAACAGAAAATCTCAGCACTAAATTCAACACTTGAATTGAACACTTGAATTCAACAGAGCCAACATCACTGGCATCATCTTCTATCCACTGGAGTCTCTCCAGAGACCAAGTTTCTTATGGAAGTGGTATTCACAGTGGACACAAATCAGGATTAGACAACATCCCCATCAAGACATCAACTCTCAGTCCAGGAAATCAAAGCCCTCAAGACCACCATGTGCTCGTTGGACAGCTGAACTGCTCTCTTCCAACTCTATTAACAAATGGAGTTCAACTAAATTGAGAAAATTCCATTATGTCACTAATGTATAAAATTTGCTTTTGTTTAACATGACATTTGAAAAAAGTCTTTGCTCTGAATTCCAACTACTGACTAACACTGCTAAGTATGTAAATAGCTAATTCCCAGATTTTCTTCTGACCTTTTCCCACAATTCCAATTAGATTTTAAACCACAAGAATAGCAGAGCTATTGCTGAGAAAAGACTTTCACCATCTCCACCACACAACCATAGGCAAAGTATGCAGAAATAAATACCCAGGGGCAAATTCCCTCTCACTTGGTTATTGATTTCCATGAACAGCTTTGCAACAAGAATGGATTTGACCCTTTGCCCTAGACGGTCATCCACAGTGTTAACACTTTGGGTTGCTGAAAAAAGCAGACTTGCAAAGAAAAAATCAGGATGTTACTCAGTTGCCATCTCACCACTGAATCCATTCAAAGCCAGATTACAGACCCCCAAAAGTAATCACAAAAAGCTTGCAGACCTGTTAGCAACAATGCTGCTGAAGTCTGATTTAGAATGGGCAGTTTACCTCACACCTGGGAAGGGCTGAGGCCTAAGAATTTTCCTGTCAAGGGTTTTGCAATGGTGCTATCTCGTGTGGAGTCTCTGGTGCCTGCTAACATAGATGGGTTCATGGTTCAATCACTGTGAATTCCTTGATGCATCATTACACATTTAAGTCCATGCTCCAGCTTTTCCCTGAGGCTCCTCTCCTCTCTCCAGACACTAGTGTCCATGAGACTCCCATACTGCTGTCATTGTGTCACAATCAGCCAGCATTTTCAAGAAGTTTCTGGAAGGTGGGGGCTATGAGAAGGGAGACGAGACCAAGTAGACATTCCTATATGATAAGGATATTTTCCTCAGACAATTGTGTTAAACACACCATTAAACACTCCAACAAATGGACACTGAGATAGCTGAGATATCACTGATTTCTGAGAGGTGAAATCCCATTTCTTGACCCAGCAGACAGCATCTTACTCTTTCCCTCCATTTTCAAAACTGGCCTAATTTGATTATTATATATATAACTGGCCTTACTAGATTATCCTGCTCTTCAAAACTATTTAATATACAGAACTAATTCATACTGTGATGAAGGGCAAAGAAACATTTATAAAAAAATCAGAAGCCATGAAAATCTGAATTTCCTCACCCTTTAAAAATCCTCCCCTGATTCTCTCTTTCCCTTCTGCCTCATTCCTTTTCTCCACCTCATGCTTTTCTTTAATTAAGCAAATAAAAATATCTTAAAATTGCCTTTTGCCTGGAATTCCTCATTTTGTTTCTCCTACTACTACACATACACTCATAAAAAATCTAACACTGAAGGCAAATACCAGTATCTGGTCCTGGTTTTGTATCACCAATTTTGATAGAATTTCGTTCCAGTGACCTAATATGACCATGATTCAACCATTGTTGTATTAATTGTATATTCACTTTGATGCCTATTCCAGATGTGAAGCTTCATATCCTGAACTCATGGAAATCATGTCACACACTTGTCAGCTTGCAAAACTTCATGTTGCAAGGTTCAGTTGCAAAACAAGTCTGTAGTCTCACACTTGATCTTACAGCATCTCTACAGTCCCTACTTTTAGATATTAAGATGTTTAGATATTAGATAGTTTAATTATTACATTAAAATTATATGTCACATTATTTATTATTACATTATTAGATATTCTATACTATATGACATTAATATAGAGTATATTACTATTATTATACTATTGAGTAATTTAGATATTAGGTTAATAAGATTTCTTAGACACTAAACACTAGGATATTTAGATACTTGAATATTAGGATTTAGATATTATGACCACAGAAGCACAGGAGCTCTGGCATTCTGGGTAAGGAGTTTTCAATGAATAAGCAAAATCAGAGATGGCTTAAGAAGACTTCAGCAATCCAGTACAGAAAGACAGGCTGAGAAAAGGAACAAATTTACCTGAAGTATTAACAGCATCTGAATAATAGATGGTGGAACTCTGGCTCTGGAACGGGATAATGCATCTTCCAATTTTATATTGAGGGTAATTATATTCCTAAAATGCAGAAGAGCTAATTGCCGAACCGAGGGCTCCTTTCCCTTGGAAACACAAAGAAAGCAAAACAGATTATGAGCAGTGTGAAAATGAGTTTCAAAATCCTCTGTTCAAATTCCTTCTTCCACTCCTGAGGGATTACAAGAATGATAAACCTATATGAAACACGAAGGAAACATAGCAAAGGACAGAGAGCAGCCCCTAAGTCTGCACAGTAAATCTGATTTGGCAGTAGTGAACTCTAGAGATGGTGACTGTGTCTGCATGTGAACCAGATGAAGGGCTGGGGTGGGATGAGAGTTGGATGATATATGAATATTTTGTATTTTAGCAGTACATCACAAATTAAATGTATCATAAGCTAAAAAAAAAAAAAAAAAAGGCAGGGCTGCAAATTGGTTGAATTTCCATTATTTTGTAAGATTTTGAATACTCCCCGTTTACGGTCTTCAAATTTGGCCGCCTGACTCGGCCCACCTGTGGATCCTCCTCTCTATACAGTTTGAGAGACTTTACTTATGTCAGGAGCAGAGCTGAAGTTTCATATTTCATTTTCAAAGACATCTGTTTTCAGTTCAACAATACCTTCTCACTGAGGAAAACCTCCAGCTGAAGAATGCAACTCAAGCTCTGCAGAGATTAATGGCACCTGCCTTATGTAGAGCTGTGAAACTGTTTCTCTTTCTGGCATTAGGGGTTTTTCCTTGGGTATACATGGCTGTACACACGGAAGGTTTGGTATTCAACTGATGCTGACTTAAGTCTGGAATAAAGAAGCCTGACCCAACCCTACTCATTTCTTTTCACTTTCAGAATTATTTAAACTGAAGTAAAGTAGACCCAGTTGCTTCAGTTGTTAATTAATATAATTTACAAGATCACATAATCACCAATTGGGCTTTTGGAAGAAACCTCAGAACATAAGCAACTAGATCTATTTGAATTTACATGGGACTTAGGACTCTTAAACCCTCAAAATTCCTTTGGAAATTCAAGTAATTATTTCCACCTGATAGGGGATAAGACTTGTGTTACTAAAATATTTTCAAAGGCCTCAGAAACACAACAGAGAATAGGAATGTTTGGTGCAATTTTCAAAACCAACTTAATGAGTTCTGATTTAGTCAAGTACTTAACAAAAAAAAGGCTTAGAGCCTACCTGTATCTCTAAGTGTCCAAATATCTTGGATTTAAATTACAGCGCACTTAGAAAAAGCTCCCTTTGTGTTCTTGTATGTTTTTAGTAACATCTTATTTCCATTGTTTTAGAATTTCTACTGATGACACGAGTCATTAGGTGAAGCAGCTTGTATGTTTTCTGGGCTCTTCCCTTTCAGAATAAAATTAAGTGTGAAATAGAAACTTTCCCTCTAAATTCAGACTTCATACCTGTAACTGTCTGAAGATTCAAATGGTAGTATTTTTAACATTTAGACAATCATTTTAGGCATAAGGTCCATTTGAAAAAATAAGAGGTTTCTAAAGTTTCCCCAAATATATTCAGCCACCAAGTTCCCACTGAAATCTGTAGGAATCTATAAGGAACTGCAAAGATCACTTGCACCTGTCTGGTACAGATTTCCTTGAGACTTCAGTGATAAACAATACTCTTTGGCTATCACTACAGTAGAAGATCAAGTATCTATTGTGCATTTAAAATTACTGCAGTTAAAATCTGTGCTCATCTAAACTGGTCAAACTTCATTGACTTTTGCTGTCCACTTACCATAGCACAGAATTCAATCTCAGACATACAATTCCTTTTCAAAATTGGAGATACTTCAAAGACAAAACTCACATTGCAGAGAAAGAAATGCATATATTTAAATCAACACAACTCCACTTATTTCACTGTGCAACACTTCAGTTTATCATTCATAACCTTTTTTGACTTTTAGTGTGATTGGCAAATGGACTAACCAGCTTCCTGCACTCCACTTTTGCTTTCCAAGTTCCTCTTCACCTTTTCCAACCAAGCACTTCAAACCATTTGCACAAGTAACTTATTTGCATGACATGACTAAACACAATAGCTGCACTAGGAGGTTGGCCCAAGGAGAGAGAATTAAGGATTGCATCAATCTGCTGATGAACCTGTAAAGTTGCTTTTTACAGTTTTTCAAGATTCTATGATAATAGAGTAATTTTTTCACCTGCACAGGATAGAAAATAGCCTGCAGCATGGGCAGGACATCACTGAAGAAAAAATCCCAGGTTTCAGCTAAGGTATCCAGTAGTTTCTGCCCTGCAAAAACACAAAACAAACTAGTGAAGAGTTTTGGTTGTAATGAGCTAGCTGCAAAAAGTAAAACACACAGGAAACAATGTGAATCTGCTACTATATGCTAAGATGAATCATGTAGCAGCTACTATTAGCAGTATGGAATTAGTTTTCCATACTGGTATATCAGATCCTTCCACATTTGTGTCTTTTCAGGTGACTCGTCTAATGTTCTCAATAAACTCAGAGTCTGAAGTTACTTAGAAGTTACTGTGAAGAATGAAGAGTAATAGCCCAGGTTACATCTTCCTCTTGCAGTAATACTTGCTGGACTGGACTGTGGAGGAGAGCAGGGGGAGGACACATCAGGTTAAATGTGGAAGTATTCCTGCAGAGGAATTTACCCCACTGTTCTCTCTCCTGCCTTTCAAGCTGCAAGTCAGTAGAGCAAACCACACTCTGTGGAGATGCTCTGTAAAGCATCCCCTCAAGCTGGTCCCTTGTAGCTTTTCCACTGTTCCCTTTCCCACTTACACAGAAAAACTCACTCAAGATCTATGGAAAAGAAAAATCATGTTAAGGCGCTAATTTTTACTCTAACTTTCAAGCAATGCAGTTAGAATTTGCTATGGCGCGAGTTCCCTGTGGTCGTCACAAGGTCACCTCCATGTCCATTCCTTCCCCAGCAGCAGCCACCTGGAATCCTCCCCAGTGGAATCTGGAGAATCTCTGGCCAGGTTGTACAACCAAGTTGGACACTGAGCTCCTCACAGAACATTTTGCACAACACAGAGGCAAATGCAGGAGCCAAGATCCACAGAGGAAATCTGGTTCCATGGGTGGGTTCTGGCTTCAGATCCCAGTTCCCCAAAATGGCCCATGTGACCCTGGATAAGCTCTTTACCATCCCTATGCCCCCAACCCAACTGAGGTTGGGTTGCAATGCCCCTGCACTTCCACCAGCAAGTGTCAGGGGGATAAAGGCATCAGAGATTCTGAGATATTCAGACAAGACAATATGACTTGCCAGGAAACAAATTCAGTAGCAATCAATCAATATTACTATTGTTGTCAGAATCTGATACTATTCTTAATTTTTGTATTAGAGCATTACTTTGAGCCTCAGCCAGGGAGTATTTTGCCCAGAATTACACATGTACACACGAAGCAATTATGCATGAAAGCATTGCACTCAAAGTTAGCCAAATGCCAATCTTTACTACGGGATACTTGATCCCCCTGCCTTTTTAAGCATGTGATGAATAGCAACAGCTCTGGTGAATCTGCAACTACTGAATTATTTCCAGGCTGATGACTTCAAGTGCTTTCAGATGTAGATCACCATGCTATACTACAGCTGCTGGCTTGTAGAACACACTAAGGTCTTATTTTCAGCACCACCAAGCAGGAGCTCTCTCTGTCCTGCATGCTCATGTGCAAGACTGAAAAGGGTGTTCTCTGTTTCCATTTTTAAAACCTTTTCAAAAAGTATGTTTTTCGTTAGTTCTAATGAAATACAGCAGGGAACCAAATCCAAAAATTTCTAGCAGCTGTAGCAGTTGTAATAGTAGTAATAATAATAATAATAATAATAATGATAGCAGTAGTATGAATAGTAACAGTAACAGTAATAATAAACATGCTAGGTTTGGCTGGGATAAGTTTAATTTTCTTCCCAGTAGCTGGTAGTGGCTGTGTTTTAGGTTGGTGCTGGAACAGTGCTGATAACACAGGGATGTTTTAGTTACTGCTGAGCAGGGTGTGCACAGAGCCAAGGCTCTTTCTCTTCCTCTCCCACCCCACCAGTGAGGGCCTGGGAGTGGGGCAGGAGGGGCACAAGGAGTTGGGAGGGGACATGGCTGGGACAGCGTTTCCCAGATGGCCACAGGGACATCCCAGACCATTTGGTGTCATGGTCAGCATACAGAGCCAGGGGGAGATGGAGGAAAGATGGATATTTGGAGTGATTGTAATTGTCCTCTCAAGTCACTGTGGAGCTCAACTTTCCTGGGATGGCTGAACACCTGCCTGCCCATGAAAAGTGGGGAATGAATGCTATTTCGCTTTGCTTGTGTGCATAATTTTTGCTTTACCTATTAACTTGTCGTTATTTCAACACACCAGTTTTTTCACTTTTACTCTTTTAATTCTCCTTGCCATTCCATGGAGGGAAGCGAGTGAGTGGCTCCACAGGGCAGAGCTGCTGGCTGGAGCCAAATCACGAAAATAACCTTGCATTTTAACATCCAATACTAGTGTCTGAAAGACCAAAGCGCTTCCAAGATATAAATCTGATCATGAAGGAGAAGCCCAGCCACTACACTCTGAAGACAGAGTTTTAAAGAGTTAAATGTTGTTTGAGTTAAATTTAGTTCTAGTTCCCAAAAGGTGAGGTTAAAAGCCCTTATAAATCTAGTCCTTTTCAAATCTTGCTGCTAGAATAGTATGAAGTAAATTACTCTGTTGAGATAAACATGCCTTTACCATCGCACACTTACTCCATCCTGTGGGCAGCTTGTTTTAAGATGTCATTTATCTCTGCACAGCAACTCAGAAAGGATGCAGAGTTGAATGACTTAGGTGGGAATACCTTTTATTGAGGGCTGTGGAAGAATTCCTATGATCTGTTGAAGGGCATCTTTCCCATGAAGGAATGTGACTTACATGTGCTATGAAGGATAGATCCTTTTCTTACTGTCAGGCAAAGATCTCTACATTTAGCATATGCATTTGCTGGATTCCAGGAAACTGGGTTACTCTAAATGCTCGTTTTTATGATGCACAATATAGTCAGTTTTGTATGGCATAAAAATGCATTTGGTACTTTTCACAGGACTTCTAAAAGTTAATTGAAACTCATGAAAGAAATATAAGAATAAATAATTAGATATTAAGAAGAAATTATTCCTGTTGAGGGTGGTGAGGCCCTGCCTCAGAGAAACTGCAGCTGCCCCACCCTTGGAAGTGTCCAAGGCTGGGTTGGATGGGTCTTGGAGCAACCTGGTCTAGTGGAAGGTGTGCCTGGCCATGGCAGGTGGGTGGATCAGGATGATCTTTAAAGGTCCCTTCCAATCCAAACCATTCTGTGATTCTGTGATTTTCAAAACCTTCTGCAGGACAAAACCCCTCCAAAGGGTGGGGGGTTTTCTCTTACGAAAACTTCAACACCAAGTGGAGAGGGAAACTCAAACCATGGGATGGGGACAACCTGAGATTTGAGGGCAGAACTGCTGCTTCTGCAGACCCAGGAAGCAAGCCCTGCTCAGAATGGGAGCTCCAAGACTTCCATGCTTCCAGCTCTGTCTTGGGTGTTTTGAGAGCCATGAAGCCACTGAATACAGGATGGACTCTGGGGCAGAGCTGCATCTGCTGCCAATAAACACAGATTCCAGCCTTGGAAATTCAAGTCCACCAGCAACTCCCCAGGAAAGCTGTGTGCCAGAAACGCCTCTGCCTCTGAATAAGAAGCCTGAATTACTGCTACCCTCCTGTAACTTGCCAGTTTTAGAGACATTTCTGATCACAGACTTGGAAAAAATACGACCAGCTTAATTCTCACCTTACCAGAATTTTTGACCATAATTTAAAGGGCAGCCATGAAATGATACACTAAATCAAAAAAACAAAGTAAGTTTAAAATCAACAGCTTGTTGAAATTTGGTATTTCCTAAACATGGTCCTATATTTGAAAGCCCTTTAGTCACCTCACAGTTTAGTTTTTAATCTAAGTTTTGATCTCAAACATCAGATACAGTATTTTTGATTTTCAAGATGGTAACACTAGGAAAAAAAAGTATAGGACTTTGGTAGGTCTGTATCTCATTTGCTGATTTGATACTTATAAAACAACTTCCTTTGTGATTTACAGAGCAGCTATGAAGGTCTTGCAATCCCTACAGCTCCCCTTGTGCTCTCCAAGCTGTTATTTTATATAAATGTGGAATTTGGTGTTCAGCTTAAGGACTTTCAGTACTTTTTTTTGTGGGCTTTGAGGTTTTTAATGTGATATAGATCCTCTTTTTGCGGTGTTCAGGGCTACTGTCTTTTCATCAGAAAAGCTTGATTGTGTAACACCACCTTAATCTGACCAACTGTACTGTCAGTAATGAAAGGTCATGTACAGGATGTATAGATAGCTGAGACTAATGGAAACAGCTGTCTCCAAGCTCCTGCTTAAGCAGTATATTTAGACTAAGTGACATTATGACTATAGCTGTGGAAAAGGAAAGATGCATTTCTTTAAAACTGCCTTCACCACCCAAAGATCTTTAGAATGTTTACATAGGCAATAATCCTTGAAGCTATTACAAAACCATTTCACCATCTGATGTATAGAATCACAGAATCATTTAGGTTGGAAAAAACCTCCAAAATCATCAAATCCAACCATGAACTCAGCGCTGCCAAGGCCACCTCTAAGCCAGATCCCCAAGTGCCATACCTACATCACTTTTAAATACCATCAGGGTTAGTGACTCCACCACTGTGCTGGGCAGCTTTGTTCCAATGCCTGAACAACTCTTTTGGTGAAGAAATTTTTTTCTAACATGCAATCTAAACCTTCCCTGGCACGACTTGCATGTCAAATCTAGGACAACACAGCATATTTAACAACACATCTAAACGCCACTTAATAGAGTAAGACAAAATATTGGTGGCTATAAAGCAACACATCAAGTGGAGCTTTATCCTTGATGTTACTTCCAGAGATGGCACCTCCAGAAGGTGTAGACAGTTGGATGGAGCCCTGCCTTTAGAAGAGACAGTGCCTGACCTCATTTATGTCAGCATGATTCCAGAATAACTTTTAAAACAAGCTGCAGCATTATTTTGGACTTAGATACTTAAACTAAGTATCTAAAGGGATTTTTTTGCTTACTTTTTTGTTTATTACATATCTTAGTCTATTTTCAGTTTTCCTGAGCAGGATATAACTGAAGGAGAAGGAAGTGTCCTTGCTGGAGGCAATCGCTCAATGACTCCCTCAATGCTGCTCTAGGCAATCACCTCTCCTTTATGAAGGTTAATGAGAACACCAAGACAGGACCAACAACAGACTGTAGGAATGGATTGAAACATGATAATCCATAGTCCCAGGAAGATAGTGGAAAGCATGCCAATGCCTCCAGAGCATTTGCTAAAACAGCTGTGACATACATAGCCATGCTAAAATGCAAGTTACCTTCATAAAAACGGATCTTGTCCCTTAGGATCACCATGCCTTTTGTGAGCAGCTGATTCTGTAAATAAAATATAGACTACATTCACTCAATTCTGTACTTCCCTACAGCAATCATATTTCACATTTTGTTCATTTTTAATTTTAGAAAGTGAAGGGGGTATTTGATTTTAAAAAGTAAGCATTGAAGGACTCTTGCTTATCTTATTTAAATCACTTGGGACACTGTTGGGGTTGATGAAGGCCATGAGAAAAATCTCTGTAGCCATGGTGAGTAAAGTATCACCCACTTGAAGGTTCCATAGTTTCTTTGTTACCATTGGCTGTATTTTGTCGCATTATTTTAAAAATTTATAATCCCTAGTTGTTATTTGCTCCTTCCCCTCAGACTCCACCCCTACCTTAGTTTACCTAAGTTACTGTAACCCCCTGGTCCTCACCTTCTGTGTGCATTCCTATATATTGTTCAGATTATGTGTTTGTTATTTTGCTTATTAAAGATCTTTACTTTTCAGGTCACACAATTGTGCCTGTCCCTATTTATTTTCACCACCCTCTGCCCTGAAGTCAGGGGACCAAAAGGTTTGTTGTTGTTGAGTCACCCTCACTGCAACAGGACACTTGTGAAAGTATGCTATAATCACCTGCTGTTTTTAGGACAAAGGATGTATTCTGTGCAGTACAAAGTATTTCTCAAACTTCAAATGACTGACCTACAAAACATGTACTTAAAGAAGCAGAAAGAATATTGCTTCAACAGACAGTGGTACTTCTAAAAGTCTTTCCTAGTAACTCTACTGCAATGAATTTCACTGGTTTACTCAAGGACTTAAATTTTAAGCTAAAAAACAATGTCTGAAACCTCAAGAAAGACAGCAATGACCTATAGAAACACAGTGACAGGTTGGGTTTTCACTATCTAACTGTATGCATATATATAAAATCCAAATCTCATCAATGTGTTGATTTCAAAAACACAGGGAAGTCAGTGGACATCTCTGAACGGTTTCAAGTATCTCCAGGTCATCATTTAGTGCGGGCAAAATTATTTTTCTTAGTAGCATAAAACAGAATTGGATTTAAATAAAGAAAGCACATGCCTACCTGCAGATACTCAGTGAAAAATGATCCCAGTTCTGTTTTCAGTAATTGCCTGTTTTAAAAAGAGCAAGAAAAGAATCTGTGTAATCAGCAAATTACATTAGCTGTGCAAGGCATGAATGAGAAGTCACTAATAGCAACTTACTTTAGAATGAGCACAGAGACTGTCATTAATGATTAACTACAAAGAGAACAAACAGGATCAACAATACTGACTCAAACCATCATTCTTGCCTGTTGAAAAATATTTGCTGTCAGTTTAGATGCCTCAATTGCACATATGAAAGGAAAATAAGATTTGATGAAAAGAGGATGCTTTCCATCCTACATCCACTCAGGACAAGACAGCTGAAGTTTCATATGGTTTCAATGAAAAGGCAGGTAGGAATTTAACAGTTTAGCTCTGCCTCTCATAATTCCTCTACACTAAAACCTACAAAGCAACCTCAGAGAGCAATTGAAACTCCCATGCAAAACAAAATCCCACAAACTCTCAAATTCAGAAACTGAATTCAACTCGGTCCATTAGCCTGCTGGTATCCAGGTAAAATTTGCCACATAGCTAAAAAGCTGTGTTATTTAAATCTCACACGCTGGATGCTAGATAATGCTTCTCTTTAGTCAGGCCACTATTTAGATGCATAAACGACAGCTCAGACCTTATAGAAAAATAGTCCCAGCTGGGTTTTCTGAACAAATCTCTTTTGAAAACCTGCCTGCATGACCATGCCAGGTTCCATGAAGAAATGATGTCAAATGTGACTTAAAAATCTAAACACCCACTTCAATTAGAGTAATTATGTGAATTATATGTTCAATAGCATGTCATCTATCCCTTTGTGTTATGTCTTTAACTGACAACTGTTTAACCAAATTATTTAGCTAGTAAACAAGAGACATCAAACCAAATCCAGCATATCCCTATATTCTGTGAAAGTCTACAGGACTTGGTTCTGATGTTTTTACAACACATGCTTCAGCACAGCCTCTTGAGATCCCCTGAGAGTTCAGGGAAGAGAGGAGCATGTCAGTCTTGAGGAGGCTGAAATACGGTTATGGAATTATTTATCCTTAAGCACATGTCCACACTGACCCCACAGTCTGGAAGGTCTAGGCATAAATTAAATTAAAAAATAAACAGAAGGAAGGGCATTTTCAGATGTTCCTAAGCATCAAAATCCTTTTCAGCTAGAAACTTGACTAATTTAGACAAACTATTTATGGACAAAAGTTCTGAAAGCCAGCAGAGGTATTATCCATAGGTGTCCCACTGCCATGAAGATCACCAGTCCTCTTGGCATGCGGCTGCAATGTGGGGGAGAGGGCAGCTCTGGCACCACCCTGCTCTCAACAGTAATACTGACAAGCCCTTGGCAGGGGTTAAAACCCAGCTCACTCAGAGCTGCTCAAGTTCCAGTGCCTCAAGGGAACTCAAGGAGAACAAGGTTGTAACAGCCAAATTGTAGCATGTTCACTCCAAGTGGAGATTTGCTGTCCAGTGAGGTGACTTTTTTCTAGATCACAAGTGATGACACCAAAGGTTCATCTTACTTTGAACATGGATAGACAGACCACTTTTAGGTTGAACTAACAAGAAAGTTGCAGATTTGAATTTTACTATGAGGGTGGCAATTTATTCTCATGTATCTCTTTGTGCCACTGTTTCAAGAAAATACTGGTACTTTATGCTGACAGATTTTGTTTCATTTTCTACCCGCTCCTCAAGCTAGCAACTCCAGATGGATTCTTCAAAGCCTTGAAGACGTGATGTGCAACTACCTTCTCTTTTAGTATTTTAGGTTCTACTGATAAATTCTGGTGTTTAGGTCAGGAAATAAAAATGTATGTTCTGCTTATCCAATAGCCAGCTCCCTGATAAAACAAGATTCCACCACATTTCTGCTTTTTCAACTGAAATCAAATAACAAGCTTGTAGGTAATTAGATGCACTGGACTGCACCACACCAGCAGCTGCCAGGAGGCAGCTCTACACCTACATTAACATCTCTGTTTACAGGGCAGAAGAACAGACACAATTCATGCATCTTGCTTTTCGAATCCCTAATAATACAGATATTTAAAGCTACTTAATTAATTTCCAGTGAAACAGTGAGGCCTTCAGGTCAGATCAGAACACTGGTGTTTGTTATTCTTTGTATATATTTATTTAAATATATATAAGTATATATCCACAACAAAACTGGATCAAAGACATTGCTTGCAATTTCCTTTTCATCCTTGCTTCATTTCCTTTAAAAAAAAACAGTCAGGCTGTCAGATACTGGATAATTTCAATTACTGACCAACCTTACGGTCATCATGTGGACATCATGATAGAATCCAGGTAAAAATCTGACTAAACTTAAAAGAGATCCCTGACCAGATAGCAGAACTTATTTCAAGTACATCTGATTTTTAAAGCAGGCATTTTGCACTCATAAAGCTTCTCTATCTGAACTCAGGTCTTTACTGCCCGTTTCTTAACTTAATAAGTTAACAAATTTAACAAATACTTAACAAATTAAGATGATAATATAAATTCCTTTAAAATGTGCTAAAATGGCTCCCAACTTTTTTTTTCCCTGATGCTGTTTCATTGGTTCATGCTTAAATTAACTCTTGCAACAGTACTCAGAATGGAAAGCGTAACACTGCATAACAGATATTAAAAAAAGTTAAATGAAGCAAACAAGTGATTTTACTGGGTTTGAACTCTGGCTGCAAAAGATGAAATGCCACTAAAATGTGCTTAAAATGTGCTTTGTTTGCATCACATCAGTATCCTGAAACTCAGAAAAGAGGAAGCTATAATTATGCATTAGCTTTAATACAGGACATCCAGCTTTCACTCCGTTTCCCTTCGCTTTTTCTTCTTTGTTTTAAAAGCAGTCGAAATAAACCTTTTGAAATGACATATGTTACATGAAATGAAAAAGGAGAAAACACTGTTTAATTATTAATATTGCAGGCGTGGACCAAGAGAAAACTAAGCAGTACATACACACATGGAGGTTTTTATTACTAGACTTTTGACTCAATCTCCTAATAAATGACCCAGTATGGGCCCAGAAGAAGGAATGCACAGGCCACGTACTGGTCATACTCCCCATTGCTGGGACTTTACTGTGCTTCATCAGCTTTTGCAGAGGAAATTAGGAGTTCTAGCAGTGTGAGAGGCTCAACTCCCACACTGGTTTTATTGCAATAGGGATTCTGAAGGCTGTATGCAATTCAGTATTTAAGGGCACTTCCTAATGCCACAGGAATGCAAGAATGGTATCAAAAGGCATTGGTGTAAACAAGTGGCAGCTCTTATGAGCCAAACCTAAAAGAAAAGTAGATTTTCACAATTTGTACCCACTGATGTTTCCTTAAATAATCAGGGTTCAAAACCTCAAGATGTGTGCTCAGAAATTGTTTTATGTGTTTGTTTGCATGTATGTGACACATGGTAGCTGAATATATGTGACATTGCTGAGTCAAAACAATGGCGTGCAAATATTGTTCCAATATTTACACTTGAGCTAGGAATCAACTTGGATATTCAAGGGCTTATTATGAAAAGTATTCCAGAATCTGCTCTAATTAAAGTGGTAAAGTAAAATAACTTATTTTACTGTCCTGTAACTATTCAAAAAAGTAACTAACTAATATTAACCATTTACCTGAATGCTTCCACACTTGAATTCTGCCCAGTGGAAATAATGGACTTGCTTCTCAGTTTGTACTCATGTGTCTAAAACTATCATAAAGCAAGTGCAGACTTGTTCCACTTTTGAGGTCATGTTTATGTATCAGGAATTTTTGCACTCAATAATAACATTAACCCAAAGAAAGTTATTTTGAACTAAATAACCAAAGCAGTAAGACAGGTATTTTTGGCATGTGTCAAATCAGCAACTTCATCTCAGGTATGAGACACCAGGCATTCTCCCTGAAGTGACCTACGAGCTGAGATACCAACAAAGCAGCATCATCCCTACCCAAACAAAAAGAAATGGGCCTATCAAGTGGCAGCAAAGCCTATAATAAAATGGAAAAAAAAAATCAGCATATTTCTAGTCAGCTTGCCTGTTCAGCCACATGAGATGCTGCATTAAATTCAACTCAACTATGTTACTAAGCGTCATTGTGGTTCAGGGTATACAGCCAAGTAAATTAAAGCAAAATCTGGGCACATTTCTATTTCTATTTGTTGGTTCATACCAGAGTTTATTTGTCTGACACATCAGCAGAATATTTTTATTTTTCCTCTCCTGTCCCTCACCAGCAGACAAGCATATTAAGGGAAATGCACTGGGCCAAGAAATCTCAGTCCAGAAGTACCATTTGTTGTCATTCAGATAAAACTGAAGAATCCTAACAGCACTTATAATAATAACGATTAACCATTATTCCAGCAAATAACTGAACGTGATTGATGGATCATGCTAAGTGACAGACATCCTAGAAAAGTTATTTTTTATATGTCATTTTCTCACCAGCGAAGAAATAACTGAAGAGTGTTTATTTTAATTTCAAAAAAAACCCAAACACAGGCCCAATATCATCTGGCTGGACTTTTCTGAAGAGATTTTCTTTTTTTCCAATTAAAGGAACCAGACTGGGCCCAGACTGAGAATCAGCCAGGGACAGATAAACCCAGAATATCTAGTTATTCTGGGGAATATATTGGAGAGTCAGACTCCAGTGTCCAGACAGAGCAGCAATGAGCTGTTAAGGAAAGGAAATAACTAAGGATCATATGTGAAGACAGCTAGGGAATGTAATAAGCTGTCTGTCTTTTGTAAGTGCAGATTCTTTCCCACCATTTATTTTATAAAGCATTGGACAAATTTCTGTAAGAAATCAGCTACCTTGCCCTTGCCAGGGAGAGGGTTTGGTAAGCAATAATTAGTGCTGTAAATCCAGGTATCAGCTTATATCTTTGTAAATTTTCTTTTCAACTGTAACTTGAATAACTCAAATGGTAGGGTTTTCATTTTTTTTTAAAGGGAAGAAAGTTCCCAATATACATCTCACTGGCCTACAGTTAGTCTGTTACAGACAGTATCATCAGAATATAGGGAAGAATTTGGAAACATAAACAGTGTTATTCAGGCCATGATGTCTAACAGGACAGTTTTGTCACTTCATTTACATTCATGCTGTGTGGAAGGAGCAGTAGCTCTAAGGGACCACCAGTCAGAACACCTTTCCTTGCCATGTCTCACAGAGTGCTTGGAGGCTTTACCTCTTCCATGGATGCAAGGGAAGCACCTCTGGAAATGGCAGTATCAGTGCCATGCAATGGGGCTGAATCACAACAGGGGCCCAGGTTTTCCATTCCTTAGTTTTAAACCAGCACAGTTTTAAACCTTAGTTTTAAACCAGCACATTAAAAGGCCCTACTGCTCAGAGGTGAATTCCTCCAGCAGAAGGAGGGATCAGCTCTTGCCCACAGTGAAATGTTGACACACATCAGCAGCAGTGATTACTGAGGCAAAATGGACTGTGCTGGTCAAAACTGCCACTGGGAGAAAAACCTTAATGCTCTGCAGAAGCTGTGAAGTGTGAGGGCTGGCAAACAGTACTGAGCATCTGGCTGAGAACACCTTGCGTGGCCAAGTCTCTTACCTGACTCCTTCATTGAGGTTGTAAAGTTCATGGTCTGGGAGACCCTTACGCTGGAATACTGCTATCACTCCATTGTGGATACTGAAAGAGGACATGATGAGTCATTAGCATCCAGTAAGATTCGAGAATGGTATGACCTCCACAATTATTCTAACATTTCTGTCTAGACACTTCAGGACCTTTTAAAAGTCACAGATGACTTCTGGTATCCCACCCATCCCAGATGCCTAAAAGGAAATTACTGCCTAGCAAATAGGTAACATCTTTGAAAATCAGCTCTTTTAGATTTGTTCCAACTCAGTAACTTCAATAGATGTACATCTGAAATCAGTAATTTCAAATACTTAGGCCAATTTTTTAAACACTTTAAGTATGTCAGCTATAACTTTTAATACATTCACATATTAATATATTCACATATACCTGAAAAATTTGAAAGTATAGTTTTTATCTCTATGGCTCACTGCAGAGACAATTAACAGCTTCCATTGCACTGGAGTCTGTGCAAAGCAGCAGCAATCAGCTTTAGAGCTCTGGAAAGCAGGACAAGGACCAGATCTGCCCACCCTGGAGGTACAAGGGTGTAGGGCTGCTGTGTCTTGTGAAGAAGAGCTAAAGGTGGTCGGTATCTGTTCATAAGGTCTCCAGGGAGAAAACTTGATTCCTACTGGTAGAAGAGCTTATCACAGAATCACAGGATGTCCTGGGTTGGAAAGGACCTAAAGATCATCCTGTCCCACCCCTGCCATGGGCAAGGACACCTTTCCTTAGAGTAGATTGCTCCAAAAGCCATCCAACCTGGCTTTGAATGCCTCCAGGGATGGGGCAGTCACGGCTTCTCTGGGCACCCTATGCCAGGGCCTCACCAGCCTCACAGGGAGGAATTCTTTCCTGATATCCGATCTGAACCTACTCTCTATCAGTTTGAAGACATTCCTCCTTATCCTGTCACCACACATCCTTGTAAAAAGTCTCTCTCCTTCTTTCTTGTAGCCTCCCTTCAGGTGCTGGGAAGACTTGGTCAGCTCTGGCCTGATCCAGGGCCAGATCCAGCTGCACGGGGCTGCTCCCACTCCAAGGGGATGTCATTGCAGGAAAAATGCCAGGCAGCAGCAGAAAGTGCCTCAGGAGTGCCAGTGCCCACATTAAACTTTCCCAGGCCGATGATAAGACAGCTCATTTCAATGCCAGCTGTGAGCAGAGGACTGGTTGGAAGGTAAACTCAACACTGTTCACTGAGAGATTCAAAATGCAGGGACACAATAGCAAAGAGATGCACTATCAGAAAAGCACAGCCACCTTCATCTAAGGAAAAAGGAAACTAAAAGTGGCAGGTGAAGGGTCTGACCTGCTGTGGAAAAATACAGATGCAAGCAGAAATAAGAACCATTATCTTCTTCTCTCTTTTGTTCCTTTGAAGATGTTTCCAAAACCTTACACATGACTGCTGCCACAGCAGTCTCTCTTTCCCCACAAGCACAGACATACATTCACAATCTAACCCAGATTATTTTGGCTGGCTCATACAGACACACTAAATTTATGATTATTTGAAAATTGGCAGATAAATGTCTCTGGTGTACAGTGAAGTGACTTGGGTGTTTTAATATTATGAGTAATAAGGGAAATAAGATTAATGTAGTGAATCAAACAAGCAGTCTCTACACACTCTTCTGATTCAGAAATGAACTTTGCAATGTTGCCTGCCAGACTTAGGCAGAGAAGAATGACTAAACATCTCTTCTAAAAGGCAAAGTGCTCTCTCACTCTCTCTCTGGCACCCCTTTCTAAATAAGGGGGAGGGCTTCTCTCTCCAGTTTAACAGGTCCGTTATTATTCCTCAAAGAAATGAGAGAGAGCAAGCTTTTTTAACCAGAATTAAAGGGGACAGGATGTGAGCATTGACATAGAACATCCAAGCAGTGAACTTTTAGTCTGCCTGGGAACTCCCTAGTAGTGAGGGACAATACCCTTGTCTGGAAAACAAGTCTTGGCCTCATGAAGTTGACCACCTGCCTTTCCTTCCCATCACAGACAGCAGTGCTTGTATCGAGGGTGCAGGATATAGCCCCTGCCTGCAGGTTTCGTGGGAATGGCACTGGAACTGGTCCTCCACACTTGCTTAAGAGCAGACACAGAGGAGCTGGAATAACTGGGATGCTCTTGGTGGCCTCAGTTGGTGTCAGGATAATGAAAAGTTTGCTTAAATCTTCTTAGTTACCTAAAGCTAAAGAAAAAAACAAACCCAGACCTCACTCAAATCAATGGGTTTCTATAACAAATGACTGTTTAAAAATATTTGGTCAGAATGGTTCAACCTTTTGGTGTAAAGAAAATATGAGCTATTGCTTACACACAGAAGTCCTGCAAGATGCTTGTGGTGGGTGGATCACTTCACCTATGCCTGCAACCAGCTTGCATTGAGGCTTAAGTCAATAATGTATATAATGAAACTTTTACTGCAATAGTCAACCTGAACTGGAAATGCCTTGTAAACTCCCTTCTGTAACTCTTTTACAACATGGAAGTTAATAATGGGTGCAGTCATGCACTAATATTACTGTGAACACCTCTGTTGTTGCTTTCTGTTTAAGTGTGTGCACAGGAACAAGGTACTGCAGGAGACCAAAAAGAGTCCAACAGAGCCCAAAAAACTCTACTGAGCAGGCTCACAGGAGAAGAGGAAATCAGGATGTGAAAACTTTAGAGACCAGTTTTTTTGGGAGGCTGCTTTTAGAATGACAACAAAATGTCAAATGGCTCCAGCAATGTATATTGTACTTATCTATCCCATGGTAGCTACAATTGCCAAACAAAACTACCTTAAACCAAGGCAGCACTCACAACCACAAAAATCAACTCATCAGCCTAAGAAACTTCATCTCTTTTGAAAGACAACTCATTCCACATTTTACTGAACCTCCACAGGAGGAGGTGGCTCCAGCTGACTAAAATGTGCGGAATGGCAGCTCCAGCACACACAACACAGAATTTCCCCACCATTAGCTGCACCATGAAGGGATCTGGAAGGTGTAAATCCCTGGAGCACAGAGCTGGATCCCTGCTGATGGCACTCACAACCTCCAGCCCAACAGGGGCAGGGTCAAGGTAGGCAGAGTGGGGTAAATTATTCTGATTTTGCATATTATCAGTCTATTATATGCTACTGCCTGCAGAGCTCAATACAACCAAAACATACATTTCTCCTGAGTTATTTGTCCATCCAGACACCACTGGAGTGGGAGCCTGGCTCCTTCTAGTACCACCCATAAATGTTCTTTTACTGACATCTAGAAGCCAAGAAGGAAAAACTATTGCAATTAAAACAGTTTTCTGTCAGGTCAGAATCAGTTTGGCCATAGAGATCAGGAACAACTCCAAAGCTGGGCTTGCAAGTCTTTTAAGTCCTGATCTTCTGTGTGTTCCAGCCATGGCCATGGCCCTTCCAGCTCATGATTTCCTGGCAAGGCAGCAGGACTGGCCAACATCAACATCCCATAAACATCACACAGATAATTTCAGGTCTCTAAAGCAGTCACTGCCTTTGTGTGCAAACAGCATAGGTGAAAATATCACTGATTTTTATGTAGTGTTTGCAAATTCTCCCAGAGTTCCAGGTGAAGTCCAGAATGGGTGTCAATAATCACACCCTCTGACTACCAGGCAGTTTGACAACATTTCCACTTTCAAAATGGACTAAATCAGTTAGGGCAAATTTCCTCTGCACAGTTACATGAACAGCTAATTAACAATAATTAACCTGATATAGTTGCATCAAAACCTTCTTGAAGACACTCCTGCTCCAGAGTAAAACATCATTTTTCTGAATTAGCACAATCAAATTGGGAAGAGCCAATTTTCAGCACAGCTTCAGTCCAGCTGCAACTCCACCAACCTTCCCTTGGCAGGGAAGGGCCTTGACCCTTCCAAAATAAGCTTCTAGATGCTAGTTCACTTATGTTCCAGGAATTTCCACCCAAGGTAAGGCAAACTGCAAAGAGGGACAGGCTGCAATTAAGCACTTGGTCATACAAGTGAAAATAAGCTGGTCTGGAAAACTCCCTCTTTAAAGAGTCAGGGAGGCATTAGTTGCCTCACTTCACCAACTATAATCACTGCTCTTACAAACCAAGAAATTGAGACAGACAGGTGAGGGGACTTCCTGGAGGTGTTATTAAGAGTTAGCATCTCTACTAAGTGTTACTAAGAGTTAGTATCTCTATGGACTGTAGGACAAAGAAGATTGGTTTCCTGCATTCAAGGAGGTGTAAATTATTCTGGAGGGCTATGGGGAGCAGCAATTCCCTACTACCACCACCACCACCACCACCACCTTCTGTTACTGTAGTCATGGCTGGAAAATTCTCCATGGAGAGCAGTGGTGGCGTGGCCAGTGGGAAGTCTCTTTCACCAGCCCTGTTCTCCCTCCCATCCTACAGTGAGATTCTGTCCCCCATGCACAGAGAGTGCCAAACACTCCACAGAGGGCTTCAAATAAAGGGTCAGAATAAAAAGGGTGATCCTCAGACAGGCAGAAATACTTTAAAATATTTCTAAATAAAAACTGACAGAAGAAAAATATGCTGGTCTGGAATATTTTCTCCACTGGAAAAGCCTTCCTGTCATCTGAAAAAACATTCATCTTATATTAGGAGATGAAAGGTTTTCCTGTCTGTAAAAGTTATTTTACAGCAAATTGTTTACTGTAAAAAATTAGCCCAGACCTTAAAATCCTTTCTGATTTGTATGTCTCCTCAGATTTACTGCTGATCTCATTAATGTTAAAAGCAATTTACCTGTTTTCTTCACCTCTTCCTTGCTATCTCCTACTCCTTCATGCCTCTGTGAATTTTCTGCATTTTCTTACATCAAAGAGGATCTAAGAACCTTTGACTAGAGGCTTTCCCAGAGCACAACTCAGGCAGTATTAGCTCCTGATGAGGCAGTCTGTGCTAGCTCAGTCAGAATGAAAATCCTGCCACGGATTTTATTTGGCCTGAGTGGGCCCCCTGGTGTGTGAGCTCAGGATTAAAACTCCTGGGTTTCTCAGTCCAATTGGTTTAGTCAGCATTCAGCCCTCATTTTTGCTTGAAGTGATCTTACACCTAGTGAAAAAAATCTAAACTATTTTAATCCAGTGCAAATTTTGTGAGCTGTAATGAAGTGTAATGTCCCGCTATGTTGCTGTTGGTTGCCAGTTAACTGCACCAACAGTGTTTTGCTGCACAGATCTGGGGTTCATGGGAAAGCAAGCTCTGAAAAACCCATGATATAAAGTCTCATTTGCCTAATAGCAGACAGCAGCTTGGCACCAATTTCCCTTTGATGTAACAGTGCTGAGAAGTTTCACTGCATTTTAGCTCAGACATGAAGGGAGGAGGAAGTGACCTTCCTTGCTACCACAGTGCTACGTTCCCCCAGTAGGCTGAATTAGGCTCCTTCAGGTTGTCCTCTCCTGGTGTCAAAATGCAGAAAGAATTTGCAGGTATGAACAGTCTGAGCTGAGACTGGTGTGAAGGAGGCAGCAGTGGCAGAGGGGACATCACTGGACCACGGTGGCCACACACAGAACAAGTGCAGAAGGGCAGCCATGCATCCACCCCCTCCTCCAAAAATGCCCCCAGTGACTGAGCTGCTGTCCTGCAAAAGACCCCATTAGCAGCACTTCAGCTTTTCACTCCCTGGCATGGCCAGGGGAAGCATCCCTGCTCTGCCTCAAAGATCTGCCTTTCAGCATGGGATCAGCCAGTTTGTGCGGGACTGAACCTGATGTGTGTTGTGCTTCAGCTCTCCCCACTTCAGTTCTCATGAACTGAATTCAAAGCTTCTTTGAGAAGCAGATACACCTATGCCACACCCAGGCACAGCTGCTAACATTAGGCAAGAAAGCAGCAGACATTTAAATATAGAACAGCCAGGCTTGGTGAGAGGGGAGAGCTCTGCTGGTGCATCTTGACTTCCTTGATCAGCAAGCTCTTATGCTTGCACAGAATGAAACAACACAAGCAATCACTTCATTTGGAAGGAAAAATATTCCTGTAAACCAAAGTATGCAAAGTGTCCTATGTTAGATTGTTTCAATTTTGCAATAGAAAAATAAAAGAAATTCCACAGCCCAAAACTTTAAAAACCCAGACCAGATTTTGGGTGAGTCAAATTTTAGATGTCCAGGAACATTACAGTCTCCCCAGGAAAGATGAACACAGATTCCCCCAAGACTAGACTCAGCTATATATGTCAAGATAGACATGCACTGATGATAGGCAGAAGCTACAGTGTATAATTTTTTAATCCATCTAATTCAGTATCATTTAAGACTCACTGACATCTATTCAAGGAACAGCAATGGGACAGTTGTGTAATTGTTTGGATGAAACGTGCAGATGTCCATCTCATTGACTGGCAAGCACTTCTGGCCAGAGCTGTACCTGTCCTGTCCAAATTAAAAGTAACAAACTCTTGCTTCATCTCAACTAGGAAAATCCTTTAGCTTGAATATCAGCAGCAGCTCCAAGCCTGGAACTCTCTGCCTCCCAGCAAGCCGGGTGACCTGCTCTGCTTTTGCATCTGCACCTCCACAGCTTCCTCCCCACATGCAAGACCTGGAAAAGCTAACCCCTGCCAACAAAAGCTGTCAGCACACCATCACAAAAAGGCTCCAGGGACTCTATTCTGATCCCCACCCAGGAGTCTCTTACTCCCTGCTGTTTCCCTTAGGGCTACTGGCCAAATAAAGTCCCAACTGGCACAACTCAAGATGGCCCAATCTATCCTTGAACTACCATCACCATCCATCCACACATCCGGTACAACTCAGGTTCATACAAACAGCATGATATTTGAGAAGAAACTCAGTCTTTTTTGTGGTCAGCACAGTTTCAGAGTTTAGTGCACTGTTGGCGTTCAACAACTAATTCTTAATACAGACATGAAACTACAAATTTAGTGGTGAGAAGGACAGAAGATATGATATTTTATATATTTTATTTTTCTCAGAATTTTAGCAAATGTATCTATAGTTCACCGGTCTTTCTCTTCCTACAGTTGTACCACCATATAATTATAAAATACTACAAATGACACTTTCCAAGCTGTGATCTAGGAGGTGCCATTTCATTTTCAAAATTGACCTTAGAATTTAATTCCTAACCATTTAGAGGCTTAGATTAATCTTTTAAGATTGTCACCAAAATGGACATTAAGATGCTTTCTGAATGGCTGAGCTAATGGACACATTCACAGCAAATGTTTGCATAGATTTTCTTGTAAAACAGCCATATAATTAAAATGTATAAACAAAGTAAAGGAAACAATCAGGGCTTATTTTCCCTGTCCAAAGTGCAGGTGTTTGCATGTGTACATACACACACGCACACATCTATTTGTACTAGCATGAGTAAACTTAGTAGACTTTGTCATAACTATATCAACTACCAGCAACAGCCATAGATATACAGATAGGAAGTATGTATTTTAATAGTTGTCCACATATAATTCTTTTTTTTAAATATAACCTAAGCCACATAAACTTTGAATATTTAGATAGATGCAAAGATATATTTGTAGCTGGATGCTGTGAAACAAGTCGTTGTCCGTCACAAAGGCTGAAGGGAAGGCAGGGATGTCTCTCTGTTATCAGCCTTCAGAGAAAGTTTAAGAGCAAGGGGAAAAAGGCAATCCTGTGTTAATCTGAGTGGGAGCTTCAGTGCATGTACCAAGACAGCCTGTGAGCCTGCCGAGGTGGGAGCCAGCCCAGCCTGCCACTCACAGAGCAGCCACCTATACATCAATCCCACTGCAGGAGCACGGGGAGACTGCCAGCAGCCAGCACACTGTGTGACCTTACCTGTTCCAGGTAGCGTTGGAGCAGGCCCGGCGCTGCTGTGTCCCCCGCTCATCCAAGGCTGCCTGCTCTCTCTTGCCCAGATCACTGAGGCTGGGCGAACTCATGAACTTCAACCTGCGAAGAGTCCTCATGGTCAAATGTGTGTTTGCGTGTGGCAGCTACAGATACACCATCCTGTTTACACACATACACACGCAGCTGGAGCAGCGGCAGCAGCAGCAGTGCGAGCAGTTCCCTCCGTTTGCTGTTCAAAAAAGAAACTTAAAAAAAAAAGAAGAGAGAACCGGTCTCTAGGGAGCACACCTCTGCCAGCAAGAAAACAAACCTTTAATCAGATCAACTCTGACGTCATCAACTGTGGTTAATAATTTCTCCAGTCCTTTCAAAAAAATAAGTCAAACTTCTGGCTGCTGCTACAGCACACTGAAGGGGCCCCTTGTAACCACAGCTGCCCCGAGTGTGAAGGCTTCCCTTCCCCTTGGCCCCTGGCAGCATGTCTTGGGAATCTCGCTCAGCACTGCGGTGCTCCACCTGTCATGGGAACTGCTTGGCTCCTCCAGCAGCCTGGGGGGGTCTTGCAGCATTTCCCAGCCTCTCGCCCCTCTTCCTGCTCTCATAAATGGAAACTAAACTGGAGGGCAACAGACAGGGAAAAAAACAAACCAAAAACAAACCAAACCCAAGCAGCCAATACTGACGCACTGAGACTTTATTGGGAAGTTTCATAACTGCCTGTGCCCTGCCACATTGCGACACTGAACACTCAAACTCTCACTCATACGTCCACATCCACACGCTCAGAGGCTGCTCTGGCTCAAAGCCTCACACAAAGGATTCGCAAGCAACATAACTGCAGAATGAAAAGTGATGGTCTGGGGTTTAGCATTTGGAGGAATTTCTGATGGTGCACAGAAGAGCCAGATGATTTGCCTTTCTCTGCCTGTATTGTTTGTTTTTTTTATTTTTAAATTGTGATAACAGCTGCAATAAGTTTCTATAAAAAGCCCCAGGTGTCTTACCTTCAAAGGAAAGTTGACTGACTGCAGCAGTGAAGCTGAAGGATATGCTTCTGCAAGACTCTACCCCATGCTTAGTTCGCTGTCACTCACTTCCAGCTCTGTTTTAAATCCAGGAATGCCTGGCTAATCTTCTGGGGTAGTTTGCAACAGACTGATCCAGAACATAAGAATTGCTCTTTTATTGCTACAGCACTGATCTGCATAGTCTGGTAAAAGCCACAAAGGCTTCTTGCAGAGTACCTTCACACTCACTGCAAAGAGTAGAAGAAATAGAAGAACTTATCCTTTCCTTTTTTTTTTTTTCTTCCTGTTTTCTACTTTTTTCATCTGTGATTGCCTGTTGTCTAGATTCAGGTATAACCAGCTTTGTTGGTGTCCAAATAATATAGCAAAGCTTTCTCTACAGGAAAACTCAATTTCTCACAGACAGCTTTGCCCTATGTGCATCATATACTGACATATTTTAGTAAAAAAACAATTACTCTAACTATTCAACCAAAGTCAGATAAGATTATTGCATATAAATATTTACTTCCATAATTTGATGTAGCTTGTGATAGCTCCATGGGGACCAATTACAGAACTACTTAGAGAAATAAATCTATTTTTACCTTGTGCCACTTTTAGCCATAGTGGTTTTATCCCACTGCTTGAATTAGCATTGTATTAATTGCCCTTCCCACACCAAAACTCTCAAGTATACAAATGAGCAGCACAGTAGATGGCATATAACATATCACTTTGGAAGGGACCTGCAGCCCCACATCTAACCTAAGGACAAAGACCTTACTATCCCCAGTCTCTTCCAGATGTTTAACTCTTTCAAACAAACAACAATTCATTATGTATATGGCAGCAAAAGGAAAACAAATACATATATATATATATATATACACACACATATCTCCATATTCTAAGGGATGAGATGTCTTCTACAGCATACAAATGAGGGAGCAAACACAGCTCCAGCAGAACACCGCTTTATCCAAATGGGATGAAGGGCACTCCATTTCTGTGGACAATATGGCTGGGGAGAGCAGGGGAACACAAATCAGCCTAAGTTTCTGCTAAGGGCTCAGATAAAATGTTTGTCTGCCCTGTGAAGTGAAAAAGCTAGTTAGATAAACAAGTGGCAATATAATGCCCTCTAATTTCATTTTCCACCTAGTTACTTTTTTTCTTCCCACATTCTGTGAATTTAATATTTTTGCAAAATGTTATAATACTGGATTAAATCCTTGCATTTTTTAGCACTTTGATTCTGTCTGTATGGTTAAAATACTACACCTGTAGAAGTTATTCTATTTATATGTCACCCCATCAACCTGTACTACACTCAGAGTCAATTCATGCACCAAATCATAAGCCAGCATTCCAATCTCCTGAAAAATTTGCAACAGGAGACAGGTTTTCTCTACACTCTTTTCTCCTTTCTTTGATTATACCTGATCAAATGTTGATTTATGATAAAATAAATAATTTTCAACAAGGGCTACTTCCACCCATAACTGCAGATTAATCCTACATATTTATACCATGCTGAGAGTCCACAGACATGCTTGACTTCATGTCATTCATTAACTTGACCTAAGTAGTGCTTGGGTAAGAAGGGAGAAGATAAAATCTGCACTTCAGCATTATAAGTGAAGAAGAGAGAGGTGGTGTGACTTGCCCAGCCCACTTCATAAGGGTGGCAGAGACATCAGGAGATCTTGGACCTCTGTTTCCCATTCCAGCAGAGGAAATGGATGCTGCAGGTAGCTGGGGATTTCTGGGGCCCAGGTGGCCAGAGGGCAATGCAGGAGTCAGAACTCCTCAGAAGGGCTTGTGCTACAGCTGTGCTTCTGCAGCCACTGGTGAAGTGCTGTCAATACAGCACTGCTTCCAGAGAGGCTCAGCAGCACAGATTGCTCACTACTGGCCATGGAGAGGGGTGAGAGCACTGTTGGACTCACTGGGAGGAAGGGGAGGACTGGGGACTGGGAGGAGACCTCCAGAAGGTTCAATAAGGAGCACTACATGCTGCTTAAACAGAACAGCTGCACTCAGCGCAATCACAGAGCTGAGACTGTCAAGTACTGGTAGGTTAATTCACTTAAACCCAGCATGCCATACATGGTACTAATACTACTAAGCTTACACAAAACCTGCAGCTCAAAGGTTAAATAGTTTAATCAGAGCCACATAACCACTTCAGTGAGGAAGGCACTGCCAGCCGTAGCTCATTCTCTTCCCCTGTAACATTTCTCCTTGTAAAAACAGGCCTGTCTCTACTAGAAAGAATTCTTTGATCTGTGGGGATCACATCCTGTGAATGACTGCACAGCAAGTCCCAGAGCTGCCAGAGTCATAGGGGAATTTCTGCTTACCTGGATTTACTTCTATCTTAAGGCCTAAAACAATATATAGGTAGATAAATACAAGCTGGAAGTTGAAGAGGATTTATGCTGTTACTAGAAAACCATGTTAACATACAGATCCAGGACCTTGTATCAAATGCTGCTTTTAAAATCACAGGAGTCACTCCACAGTTACCTCCTGCTATGCCAGTTTTGCCTGCAACATTCTTGCTGGGACCTGTGGTATAAAGATTGTATTGCTGTGCCTAGAAAACATTAGAAAAAAAAATCCAGGCAGTCCTCCCCAAGCATACACTTGGTTTCAAAAGAATGAGATTTAATGAAAATAAATAAATAAAAAGAAAGAACATTACATTTTATTTACGTAATGTTATGTTAATTTTTACAGTTGAATTCTACTGTCTACTTAAAAGTTTCTTTTTGACCATGATGAGAGGGGAAAAGAAGTAAAAAGTAATGTTCACAATGGGAAACATTAAGAAATTTACAATATATGAAATCTGTAATAAAGCTGTGGCTGCTATGGGTCAACTTGTTTTAGACTACACCACTCTGCTACTGCAATGACAAGTGAGCACTGCAGTGGTATCGCTACCAGTGGGAGGATGTAAACAGTAAGAGAATTTGCCATCTCAGCTTTATTCACCATTCAGAGCTTTGCCATGAAACAAAACAACTCAATAAATAAAGATTTTAATTGGAAAAGAAAAAAGCAGCCCACTACTTCACTTAATCTCCCTATCTCTTTTGGAGAAGAGAGCAGAACTTCCTGTAGTGATGCTGAGTGGTGTACATTTTACAACCAAAGAAGAGAATGGCAGAGTGTCTCTGTGGCAGAAAGGAGTTTAAAATCTCCCTAGAAAAATGCATTTTAGTTTTTCATAAACTACACCACAAAACTTAAGGTATGCCTTGACACATGCCAGAGCTCAGGAATTAGTCTTCTGACAGAATAGCATAGCCCTCCTAAAGGCCCAGGACATCCTGCCACACCAGCAGACGAGGGGCAAGGCAGAAAGGAAGGAGATGCAACCATCAGGAAAAAATAAAAAGAGCCAGAAGGAAATGAAGTTGTAAACGTTATGACTCATCAATTCCTTTGCTACATAAAGCTCCTTTATTATCAGAAAATAAAGAATAAAGAGAGTAAAGAAAGTAGACCAAAGAGGGTCTATTTACACCCTTCCTCCTCCATCCCACTGACTCTCTGCAACCTCTGGAGATAAAGGCATTCTCAAGGATACCTTTTTGTTTATTGAGGTTAGTCCTAGGACAGCCTTGGTTTTGCTAGTCCTTTATCTTATTTCTGCCCTCACCACAGCCAAGCCTTCTTCTCTTACATGATTTGTAAGAGAAGACTTGGCCTTACTTAGATGTCTTCCCAACCTTTGGAACACGTCCTGTGCTTCTACATCCTGTGACCAGCCATGCCCATGTGACCACAGCTGCCTCCCTGTGGACAGAGTTGGGCTTTCTGCCCCTTCACCTCCATGTGGGATTCACACATGGCATTTGTCTTTTAGGTTGTGACAAAGAAATGTTCATGACAGTATCTCCTTCCTAAGCAATCACAAGGTGACACCCATGAAGAGCCCTTTGACTAGGGCTAGCAAGGGATGCTCTGCAGTTTACAGACCATCTGCAAAGCTTCAGAGCTGATATTCAGGCAAGCCATGGCTGCTGCAGTTCCACTGCCTGCCTAATAGATTCACTGACTTCCACCATCCATGTCATGCTAACCTGCAGATGGGCCCATCTCCTGGACCTTTCCTTCCAGAAGCTTTTCAGTGTGAGGCAGAGCATCATGAGTGTGCCTAGGAGTTTTTCTCAGCAGAGAGGCCTGCAAAGGTCCAGAGCAAAGAACCATCCAGACTGCAGCAATCATCCAGTTCTAGTTTCTTTCCATAGTCTACTGATGGATGACATTTATTACCTCTACACTGAGCTTCTCAGCCTCCTCACCTTGCTCCCTTCCTGATTCTCTTTCACCCTTAGCTTTTATACTCCCTCTTCATTTTTTGTCTTTCTTAGCTAGCTAATTCTTCCTCAGACAGTTTTTAAATATAAAGGAAAATTTGGTACTAACAATATTTGAAAAACCACTCTTTAGCTGGCTCTCAGGGAATCAAGGCTTCAGTTTGCC